TCAAAAAGTTGAAATGATAGATTTTGAATAATTATTAAAAATGAATATTAATTTTTAAAATATATTCATTGAGAATATAAATTTTAAATTTAAATGATAAATATCATTTTAAATAATACAAATGCTAAATTTATTTTATTAGGATTATTAGATGTTATCCTTATAAATTCTCTTTATTCATTTTAAAATATACTTGAGTAGTGTAATTTGAATGATTTTTTTTCCTTTAATTAACATCAATTGAAGTAATCGTGTACTTCCTTGAGACTAGGTAAAAGATTTCTCGTAATTTGTTATCTTGGCAAACAAAAATAAATTACAAAATCCATAATAATAATGAATAATAATACATAATGGAATGCACTAATAATAATCAACTATAAACAATAAATTGAAAAATAAACTAACAGACAAATATTCAACTATAATAATAATAATAATAATAACTATACAATAAATTGAAAAAATAACTACAACAAATATTCAATATTATATAATTGATTGCACAAAGATTAAAAATAATTTTTTTTTTAAATACCTGACAAGTTTTGGAAATATTGAGTTTCGATTAATATCAATCTTATGTATCTCTTCCCTTTTTATGCTCTTTTGCTTCTATCTCAACTTTTTCCTACACATGTATTATATTAAATATAATAAGAAGCACAAATTTTTTGTCATATTATATAATTCTCTATTTCTTTTCAAAAAAATTAAAAAAGAGAAAGAAAGAAAAATAAGACCAAAGAATTGACATTATGTCGACATTCTATTAACTCAGGTGAACAAATTATATATTTATATATATATATAATTTAAAAGTCTTAAAATTTTAAATTCAACAATCAAAAGTTGTAAAGTTTTAGTTATTCAAATTTTTATATGTTATATATATACATATAAATAAATGCTCAAAAATTATTAAAAAATATAAAAATTTTCTAAAAAAAAAAATGTTCAAAGGACAACATGTCAAGTCAGCTCGTTTTTAATTTGGTTAGCCAAAAAGTAAGATAAAAAATTATTATTTTTAAACATTTCGAATTTAATTAGTTATATTAATGTCTTATACAATTCAAATCCTATATCTATTTAAAAAATATAATATTATTAATAATTTTTTAAAATGCTTTCATGATTTGATTGGCTAAAAAAAATTATAAGTATTTATAAATATTTAATTTGATTTATTAGATGACTTTCTTATTTTATTGTTAACGTATATTTATTCACTACAAGAGATTACAATGAAAGTTATCACCAAAACATGTAAATTAATTATAAATGTATAATAAAAGCGATATGATGATTTTTATAAATCAATTCGTTTTTCCTTAAAACATAGAATAAAAGTAACTAACGTATAATAAAGACCGTTTGAATTGACATCGAATCTAAAAAATATTTACTGTACATATAAAGTGTAATATAATTTAACCACAATTTAAATAAGAATTTATAATTTAATATTACATAAATAAAAAATTAAACTAGTATAAGGAATGAATATATAACCAGCATAGAACCAAAAAAATGAATATATGAAAGCAACTAACCTATAATAAAAACCGTATGAATTAGTATGTTGACATAGAACCAAAAAAATATTTACTGTATATATAAAGTGTAATATAATTTAACCACTCAATTTAAATAAGAATTTATACTTTAAGTATATAAGGTTACCATAATTTAACCACTCAATTTAAATAAGAATTTATACTTTAATATTATATAAATAAAAAATTAAACGAGTATAAATAATGAATATATAACGAGCATAGTCAATATGTAACTCACGTTATAAAGAAGACTAGTAAATATAAAAGACTAAATAGTAACGTTATATAAATATAAAATACCAAATACTCAAGTAGAGCATACTTGACATTTAAAATGTTAAGTTGAGCATTTACCGTCTTGTTTTGACGTCACCACAATCAAGACACTTATAGTTCGTTTGGAACAAATGAATCATGGTTATAAAATTTATTTATTTATTTGCAAATGAATTTGTATGCTACAATTTAAAATAATAAATTCATTGAATTCTACAAAATTATGTTTGGAATAAATTCTTAAATGAAAATTCATTTGTCTTTATTTTTTATAACACCCTTGACATAATAATTTAACAAAAATAATAATTTAAACAAAAAATAAATCAACAAACAACAATTATCATTTATTTATGTTACAATATAATAATTTGTCATTTTTTTTATTAAATATAAATAATAAATTTCAGTATAAATAAGTAACAACTAATATTCAAAGTTGATTAATTAATTAATAAGCAGTAACATTAATCATAATAATTACTTTTAATTAATGTAAAAATTTTATTGATAAGTGATTGATTTGGAAATTAAAAAATATAGTAAAGAATGTTACTGTGTGTTTTTTAATTACATTGAAAACTAATTGTTGAATAACTTAATATTAAATATAAATAATAAATTTCATATAAATAAGTACACTAATATTTCAAGTTGATTAATTAATTATATAAGCAGTAACATTAATCATAATAATTACTTTTAATTAATGTAAAAAATTTTATTGATTAAGTGATTGATTTGGAAATTAAAAATATAGTAAGAATGTTACTGTTGTTTTTTATTACATTTGAAAACAATTGTTGATACTTAATTTTTATAGTTTCATAGTAATAATAATTAGCGTTATTAGTAGACTTAAAAAAAATGTCATTAATGGTTTGGAATTTTAAAAAAATATATACAAACTAACGTTATTATTGGATAAAAAAAAGGGTTGTTATGGTTTGCAATTTTTCAAATAAAATAAATAAAAAGGAAAAAAAAAAGTAAAAATAGTTGAGTTTATAGTGGAGGATAATTTTTTTAATATCATTTCAATAGTCAATTTTGTGGAATTCATTTAGGAATTCCATTAATTTTAGCAGAATTTAAGTTAGGTATACTCAATTCTATATAATTCAATTCGTAGAATTTAAATCTGTATTTTCTTTCATTATATACACACAACTTTGGATTTCAAATGAATTTCATAAAATTTTATGGAATTCATTTGTTTCGAATTGGCTTTTGCAAAATATTTTATACTTCATAAAATCCCATAATTTTAGTTCTTCAAACAAAAGGAATCAATAGTTTAATGAGAGTAAATTTAAAAATTAATCAGTATATTAATAAAATAAGCCTACAAGAGGATAAAATTCTAACTATAACTTGTGGTGAGAAATTGAATCTTACATGTATAAATGAAATGAAACCTGTAAAATAAAATAATATGACAATTAAGCTAAATCTAAGTTGTAACTTATTTCAATTAGCGCATATCAAGTCATAACTCAGTGATAAGTGCATATACGACTTGACAATAGAACTAAGTTTGAATCTACTGCTCCGATTCTAAAAAAAAAGAACTTAATTCAATTAACAATTAGATTTTATTTTTTCATTGTCGTTTTCTGGTGGTTTCCATGAGCTTTCTCCTCCTCCAGCACTTCAAAGCTTAGCTGATTCTACTAGAGTTGGCTCTTTTTTTCCTAAAGTTCATGTGTAGTTTGACTTATCAGCACACTATATCCATTTTTTAACAGTCTCCTTTAGAATAATTAAAAAAAAGGTAAATTTTGTTTTTGAATTATAATGGTATGTTTTCTAATTAAATGAATTTATTCTTCAAATATAGATTGACTCTCATTTTTTATGGATTGCACAGCAAGGGTCAATCCTCCCATTCAAATAACATTCACTAAATTTGTGATAATTTTGCGGTGAAGAATATTCGAACTCATACCTCTCATTCCCTATATCTACTATAGGAGATAAGAAGACCAATCAGACTATACCTGATTAACTCTTTTTTTTTTTTCAAATTAGAATTTTTAATTTTTTTTTATAGAAAGCTTATTTTTATATTTTCTTTGTTGACTTTTATTTGTCACTTATAGTGATAAAAAACAAGTAAATTACCTGCATTATAATAAAATACTTCTTAATGTAATTAAATTATCTTTTTTCCATCTAATTCCTGCAATACTAACAATGCTCTATATCCATTTATGTACGACTAAGTAAGAGAATCAAATGATGAGAATTCTTGTAAAATTATTTTCTTAGTCACCTCCTATAAATGATAAACAAAAAAAAGATATAAAACATATAAATTATGAGTATATTAGAGTAATAAAATCTCCATAATATTAATATCTTAATCAATTTCAAGAAAAAATATGACATCGAGAACTGCCTTTAGTAAATAAATTTATATCCAAATATAAGCCAAAAATATAAAGAAAGTGAGGAATGCCAAAAAGCCTAGTATCATTGGATATTGTCAACACTCGTATAATAGTTAAATATTAAAAAAAGATAAAAAGATTCAATAAAACAATAAAGAAAAAATGAAGTAAGAGATAGAAAATTAAATATCGTATGATTAATTCATAATAAATATGTTTTCACTCCAACAGTATATTGAAAAGAAACCTTTCAATTTAAAAATTTTATTATTCTAATTAAATGGGATTTTCAAAGATTTAAGTGTAAAGTTAGAAGTACTTTTAGAATTCTCAAACTATAAACTAAAGATTTAATTAGCATTATAAATTATCATAATTAATGGATATTGAAATATTTTTTAATTATAAAGCCTATACTCAAGTATTTTTATCTTGCCAAATTAACACTTTAAAACTTTACATTTGTGTCGTATCAACTTTTAAAATTCTGTTTTTATATATTTATATAGACAAATGTACGTAGATAGATATATATAAATTGCATATGTGAGTTTGTTAATTCAAATCATAGAAGTGAGATGACTGTTTAGTTTCTGTCAATATTATTTTAATGAAATTTTTATTAACAAATATGAATAAATTAAAAGCAAAATAAAATTTAATATTACGAAAATAGTTACGATTTCATTGACCGTATTATTTTCAGCAGGACTCGAGAAAAGTTGATTCAATAGTCCGCGCGCACTGGACTTGTGAGTGTCGTTAAAGGAGAGAGAGAGAGAGAGAGAGAGAGAGAGAGAGAGAAAAGGAGGGGCCTCTGTAGTTGTAGCAGTAGGCCAGACCTCTCCACTTCCTTTTTTAGCCATAAATGAAAGAATTGAGAAACATCATCACTCATAGTCATCAACCTCTCCTCTCCTTCCATTATTATTCCTCTTCTCAAGGAAAGAAAAAGGGGAAACTATCATCTTTACTCTTTCTCTTCTTCTGTCTATCTCTCTGTCCTACTACTGCATTTTTTTTTAGTTTGGGATAGTCTTGCTTAAAACTTGAAAAGGGTTGGATTGGAATATTGGAGACCTTTTTTGAGATTTTTGGGGCTTTTGAGGTTTTGGGTTTTGTTGTTTTTTTTATGTTAAAATGGGAACTGTTGATAAGCCTTTGAATGAGGTGCATGATTTGAGTTCAAGCGAAGAAAATGTTGTTAGTACTGTACATAAGGTATTATTATGTTCTTCTTCTTTGTTTCTTTCTTCTTTTTTTCGTATATGGTTATGTATATGATATTTTATTGAAGTCCGTCTGCTAGGAATTCTGTTAACTGCAATAGTGTTGAGATGTGGATCAAATATCTGACGGGTTCCCTTCTCTATATTGAAATTTTTGCCTTTTTTCTTTTAAATCAAACTGTTTAATTCTGAGGAAATTATTTAAAATTCATCAAGTTATCCAGTAGTTTGATCCAGGGTATTATGTTTTAAGACTATGCTCTTAAATAAATTTGCTTATGAGGTCTGGAGAGACTCTTGTTTATGGTTTTCTTATGGGCGCAATCAAAAATACAACTTGACTTAAAAAGTTGAAATATCCATTATATATCTTGCCTCATGTGACTTTGTAACCTGAAACGATCAGATTCTGCTCTGAATTTACAAATTTAATAGGGAACTTGATGCAAGATGAAAATCCTGAAGGATCATTCTTTTTTGTTATTTGATCATAATATCACTAGCTTCTATATGGAAGCCTTTGAATTCCAGATTTTGTGTTATCGATTGAAAAAACTTAGATTTTGTTCCTCAATAATTAGTTAGAATAGTGTTTAGCCATAGCCAAGGCTTATCTGTCCATTGATAGCTAACTCATGCTTTAATAAATTATTTGAATCTGCTTGATAGAAGGAGCCTTCTGAAACTCTCTGGATTTAATCAACCTTTTTAAGTCCTGATCAGTCTCAAATGGATCTATATGAATGAGTTTTAAGGATTTTGGTAAATGTCATTAGGTTTATAATTTAATTAAAAAGGAAAAGATTGATAGAAAAAGTCTTTCCTTTTTGGATGGAGGAATGGACCTGGAAATTACTTGATATTCCTTTGTGATACGTGATACCCATATGAGTATAGATTTATGTCCATGATGCTATTAGACTTTAGAAGTCAATTTTTCATATTTACTTGAAATCTTAATCTCCCCTCTGAACATATTCTTATTTGAAAATATGCAAGACTGTTGTCTAATGTCATTGTTGGATTTCAAGTTTATTTTAGTCGTTCTATTCCCTTTGCAACATTTTCATTATTGAAAATCTGTAAGCATGCTATTAATTATTGGAAATATTCTTTCCTTTATTATTCGTCTGCACATGGGATGTTATTCAAGGTTATGCATGTCAATTTTGGCATGTTATTCAAGGGGGTATGTTTTGTCCGTTTATTTTTTAATTTTTACCTCTATTTGTAAAGGTAATTCTAATTAAGTCATTTTAATTCTATGGCACATTGGCTTAGAGATACAGGTTTTGAGAAAAATCATTGGACGTTCTTTGGCCATTTTGACTTTTCAGGTTGAAGACTCGACAGGAATAGTTGAAGAAGCCAATCATGCTCATCAGTGGAAGCGGAGAAATCTCTTTCTGGAGATACCATCAAGAACTATGGAAGACCCTGTACAGGATTCTGTTGTAATAAAGATTCCTCCAACACCTAGTCCAACTCCTAGGAAAGTAAATTTCTTCTTGACACCTAATTCTACTGATGCAAGAGCTTGTGGGTCCCCAGGTCCTTCCTCATCTAGAGGCAAATCATCCTTAAGGAGTCTCTTGCCTAAACTAAGCTTCAAGTCCCGAATTTCTACAACAGATGCTGAGAAGGCTGCCAACCTAGCTCCAGATTCTTCATGTACCTTGCCAAGAGAGAAGCCTTCGATCTCAAGATCATTATCGCTGTCAAAGATATTTACTCCAAGGATGAAGAGAACATCATCTCTGCCTGTAACTCCAATTGAAAATTCTACCTCAGAGTCAGCACGTGGAGGATGCATTGGTGGTGCACTCAATTCAAATGTTAGTTAATTTTGGTTATATTGATAACATAGTTGAACAGCTTAACGGCCCTGCAAAATTTGTACTTTGCCGGAGTTGAAATTAGAACTATAGCTTCCTAGATTTACAATAGCATAATCCCTTGTTCATTCATGCCTAGTAACAGGGCAGTCAATTTACCAGTATTCCCTTAATTGACAGCACATATGTTTGTTGGTCAATCAATGGTGTACTGCACATTGTCCTTGACTTTTTCTTAAGCATTTCCTGCTATTGATTTATTGCATTGTCTTAAGGTTACCATCTATTGTTTCAAGTTGGTAATTGCTTTTGCAGGGAAAAGGAACCCAGCGACAGATATCTCGTTCACTTTCAGTCCCTGTCAATAATAAAGAAAAAAGTATAAGGAGGATGGATTCGTTTTTCCGTGTCATTTCCTCCACTCCTCGAGTGAAGGAAGGAAATGTCGAAACAAATTCTTCTCCAGGGGTTGATACTGGTATTCATTCTGTCTTAATTTTGTGATGACTGCTGTTTTTTATCTGTGATTGTTGGTTAAAAGTTTTCAAATTCTATGCTTAGTCACTTGAATCCATTGACAGTAACAATATGCCACTTGTTACTCATTGATCCATAAACTTTGCCTACAGACATTTTCACTGTCAAAGAGTTTGAATGCTTTTGCTTTTTAATGTTTATTTGGCTGTTTAGTGGACAAAACAGTTTCTTCAATTTTATGCATTGAAACTCTTAACTATAATTATTTGTCTCAGTTCCCCAAAGTCCATATCCTTAGCAAACAAAGAGAGATTAGTCTTTTCTTTTCCATTTTACAGACTATTACTTGCTGCTACCGACCAATGTCTTAGTTTTATCTTTCAGAAACTGATGACACTGATGGTGAGGACATACCTGAAGAAGAGGCTGTTTGTAGAATTTGTCTGGTTGAATTGTGTGAAGGAGGTGAGACCCTTAAGATGGAATGCAGCTGCAAAGGTGAACTTGCTCTGGCCCATCAAGAATGTGCTGTGAAATGGTTTAGCATCAAAGGTAACAAGACCTGTGATGTGTGCAAGCAAGAGGTTAAGAACCTGCCTGTCACTCTTCTACGAATTCAGAGTGTCCATGCTCGAGCCAATGGAGGAATCAGAGCTCATCCGGCAGATGCTAATAGGTACAGGCAAGTAAATATTTGGGCTGCTCCTATTGATACCTGCTTTAAGCCTTGACCTTTTCTAATGTGAGGAGATTATGCTAAACTCAGTTATAATGTATGATTAACTCAAACTATGTCATAAATTAAAGTTCTCATCTATCTGGCCTTGTTTTCTTTAGGCGTACTAATTCTTGTCTAATCAGGGTTTGGCAGGAAGTGCCCGTGCTCGTCATCATTAGCATGCTTGCCTACTTTTGTTTTCTTGAGCAGCTCCTGGTAAGATAAGCAGCTTCACTGCCAGATTCACGAAATTACCATTTTACCTCTTTTCTAATAATATGTCTTTCTGTGTGCAGGTTGGAAATATGGGTACTGGTGCAATTGCCATATCCCTTCCATTTGCTTGTGTACTGGGTCTTCTCTCTTCCATGATCTCATCAACCATGGGTAAGGAGCCGTTCTCTCAAAAGAAAAAGATATGCTTTGAATCTCCTGTGAGGATACCATATATGGAAACCACTGAAAATGAATTAGAAAGCAAGGATCAAAAGTGGTAAAAATTACATTTTTGAATTTGGTAGGTCAAATATTTGTCTAATTACATGTATGCTCATTGTATTGACTGTTATAACTGTTACGGTATAGATTAATTCTTGACTATACATGTTTTGACAAAAGTTTATATGCAGAACAAATTTTTGACAGACCAATAAAAAATCTTAATTTTCTTGTTCACAGAAAATTTCTTCTCCTCACTTCTTGAGTTTGTCTTTGCAGTGAAGAGAAGGTTCGTTTGGGTTTATGCATCCATTCAATTTGCTTTGGTTGTTCTCTTCGCTCATATTTTTTACTCATTGGTAAGTAAATTTATGTTTCACATTGACTTGATAAGGGAAAAAAAACAGTATCTAGGAAAAGGTACTTGAATGAGTTAATTATGGGACTAGAGTCTTATAGTCATGCAATTGATTTTTGGTCCAAGTTCTTTTGAGCCTTGTTTATGTTCTGGAGCATGAATCATAAGCATATCTTAGATATGAGACGGTGAGTTTATCAGGAGCAGCTGAAATTTAGTTTTTCTGCAGTCTTTTAACTCTTGACCCAATTTGAACTTAAAGTTTAAAATCCTTGCATGTATTCTTTTTTATTTTTTATTTTTGGAGAACTAGAAATATTGAAAGAGGAAGGAGTTGCCAGAGTTTGAGATAAGCGCCCAAACTGAAGAAAAAATATTTCACATCCTTAAATTCCTTTATGGTCTACAGGTCAACTTGCAAGCAGTTCTATCCATTCTCCTAGCAACATTTTCCGGGTTTGGTGTAGCAATGAGCGGGAGTTCCATACTTGTTGAGATCTTTAGATGGAGAAGAAGATGGATTGCTCAATCTGAGCAGCAACAAGGTTCCTTTGTGATGACAGGACCACCAGGTCAATTCCCAAGAACTACAAATTCCTCCCAAAGAGGCTCTCGTGATCGCCGTCGAAATGACGTGGAAAATCCAGAATCTTTCAATGGCAATTAATTTAGTTTATACTTAGTTTTAGTAAAAATGAGAAGTGCTGTGGCTTAAATTATGCTTTGTCTTAGTGACAGCAAGCTGCCTTTGTAATATACCCAAAATAGGATCATTTTTGTTCAACCAAATTATGCTAGAATACCAAATTATGAATTGTATACCTTGCTGAGTATTGTAAGGAATGTTCATGCTTTGAAAGAGGCAATACATTGGATTGGGTTTTAACAGGATTTAGAATAGTTTAAAAAAAAAAAAAAAAAAAAAAAAAGGAATGTTCATAGCCTTTGAAAGAGGCATACATTGCGATTGGGTTTTAACAGGATTAAGAATAGTTTTAAAAAAAAAAAAAAAAAAAAGAGTACAACTGTATTCCTCTTTTTACTCTTCTACTACTGAAAAAAATGCCTTGTTCCTGAAATTCATTTTTCCCCAATAACCAATTCTAAAAAAAAAAAAAAAAAAAAAAAGAGTACAACTTGTATCTCCTCTTTTACTCTTGTCTACTACTGAAAAATGCTTGTTCTGGAATTCATTTTTCCCCAATACCATTCAGTTCAGTATAACCTCAATTTGTTCATTTTTGTTTCTAATAAGAATTGCTACGTTTGAGAGTGCTTTTCAAAATATTTTGTATAGCAAGTTGATAATTAAATAATATTTTTCCTTAATTTGGCATATTCGCTATAATTTTTTTATTTTTTTATTTATTTCATCACAATTATTTCCTTGCCACCATTGGCCCAAAATTAAACTTCTACCAACAGTAAGCCTATAATAAAACTAAAGGTGTCCACTTGTTCGAATTTGGCCAACATTACTCGCAGCAGCGACAAGAACATAAATTTATATAGGAAAAGTTACTACTTAGTCCGGTAGTTTGGTAAAATTATTATTTCTTTAAAAATATATTACTTGGTCCTTGTGTTAAGTGCCAATGGAAAAGAATAAAATACCATTTATCTTTATATTTATTGTATTTTATAGACTAAAAGGAAGTTTAAACTTTTAATAATATGAATGAATAATATATTTTTGATTTTAGCATATTATATTTTGATAACATGAACTAATTGTTGATATTATAAAAAAGCAATTTTTAAATAAAGAAATACAATAGAAACAGCTACTTTGGTCTTTAATTCCATATATGGAATTTATTTATAGCAATCATCTCACAAATTGATTATAAACAGTTACTGTGTTAAAGTTTTAATTGTTAAGTAAACAAAATAGAATAATGGACTAACCGTTATTTTATATTTAGACCTATATATTTTTACTTCTGTATAATTGAAAGTATTTTTTTGATACTTAATATTATTTAAATGATTTATTATTAGTATTATTTATCAAAATTATAGAATTAAAAAGTCTCTAGAATCAAACCTATGAATTGGTTTAAACCGGACCTTAATTAAACCCAAACGGACCCATAGCCAATCAAAGCCCCTCCCCTTCTTTTCACTCTCCCCGATAGCAATATCCTTTTCCTCTGCGCTGCTCTTTTTCCAGCGACTCCAGCCCAAAAGCCGAGCAACTTCACCTCATACTCAGTTGCAACACGCTATACAGCCACCTCTCCTTCCATTTTCAACCTGTTTTGCATGTAAAAGAGAGAGAAAGCGGGAGAGAGATTTCGACTGCTGCAAATCGCCCATTGCTATCGAGCTCTTTATGGTGTTTTCGGCGAACTGGTGAGCAACAATAGACTATCTTCACCATTTATTATCAGTTTTCTGGATTAACTTGATGGTTATTGCTTTGAGTCATGAGATTGAGGAAATTGAGGTCCTAGGCCATTGTTTATGTGAAATTCTAAAAAAAAAAATTACAATTAATTAATTTGCAATTGAAACTATAAATTGAAATAGCTTTGGTAGAGACATTGTAATTTTCTTATCATGACAGCAGTTATACCATTTGTTTTCCCATTAGTTGGCAATAATGAGAGTAAAGTAAGGTTGAATATCTATCTTTTGATGGGGAAAAGGGTAAGTTTGTAAGTAGATGATGAGTTTTGGTTAGAGATTAGGATTTCCTAGCATTCGACAACAACTAGCTAGGTTTGAATTTACTGCTCATGTAGAAATTCTTAGCTTAATCTTGCTGTATGAGAGGTGTTGAAGTTGTGACCTCCAATTTAGAAACTAAAACATGATTTGGTAAAACTATTTCAAGTATTAGCTTAAGCTTGGAAAGTCCTTACCATGACAGCTGCTATAATGTCGACTTTATGAAATTGTAATAACAGGATGGGGATTTACATTAGAAGTTTAATTTATTTGGCAATAAGGTGAGATTAGTTGCTGGAGTATTTTAGTAACGGGATTATAAATATTTTTTAATAGAGCAGTCAGTATATCAATGTTCTTATAAATTTTTGATTATTTAGACCGACTCCTTCAAAATAAAATAAGCTTGATAATAATGTTCTTGTTTGATAGAAATAACGAATCCAAGAACTGTCAAGTGATGTCATGGAATTTACCTTTGTATTGATAAGGAAGAAAGAATATGTATAATGATTGAATGTAAACTGAAAATTGTTATATGATTATCTTATACTCGTAAATATGTAAACACATACGCATAAAGAGACTTTGCAAGGTTTGGAATCAATGTGGTTAGTCTAAGTTTGCTTATTTGTGAAAGTATAAGTGATTTAGAATAACCATGACTATGATTGGATATTGATATTGATGTTAAAGGAGAATGGGCATTGACATGATTAATTGCTCAATGGATGGGCTGTGTGAGTTCGATTAATAAATACTTGATGTTTACTATTGTTTAAACAAGAAGATAGTCCTATTTTTAAGGGAAGTTTTGCCAAAATTTCGACGGAATCTAGATTAGTTATACTTGTTAAAGAGGTTTTTGGATTTATTTAGAATAATTCGTTATTTTTATTCATTTATTTAATTCTCTTTTCCTTTCAATTCCATTTCATTTAGATCGCCCGAGTTCATCCATTGCTCCAACAAGTCAGAATCTAAATTAGAGTCTCTTCCTTTTTTAATCATTGTAAGTAATAAATAGTACATACCATTCTTATCATGCATAAATTATTTATGATATAAAGTTATGTTTATTTAATTATTATTAAGTACTTCTTCATGTTACATTTATACTTATATTTATCATTTATTATTCTTATATGTACAAACATACACAGAAACATATATATATGATATACTTGCATATGATTGTTTATATAATTGTTTGATGAACTTGCATTATTTGTACTCTTTAATTAGATGTATTGTGATAATGACATGCTTTATTTGTGTGGAATCGGGATGAAGTGGATCACCATTGGATTTGTGAGAGCGGTCTATGATACCGTTAGCCATACTTAGGAAGATCGGCGCCCTCGTGTACATTTGATGATATGGACTATATTGAAACCACAGGTTGGCCTCGTGATGGTAATTGAAAAATAAAAGAAAGTATGAAAAAACAATGGGAGGGCTGGTCAAGTTGTTGAGATAGGTCGGCCATGTACGGGAGATTGACTTCCTGGTGTACACATCATGAGAGGAAATTAAATAAAAAATATTAATTAAATTTTTTAACAGCATATTTAATAGGAAGTTATTGTTTATAAATAAATATAAATGATGATGAAAAAAAATTAATTTTTATTATTAATTATTTTTATAAAGTTAATTAATTTTAAATATAATTACAAGCTATCAAATGTGGAAAACTTCTAATAGGTAGCTGATGTACTTCTATCAACTATTAGGAACATTCACCAAATTAGATGGACTAAAACACTTCATAATCATGTGAGAAACAAGTGCAACTAAATTCTCGTTGTTATCTTCCCATCTTCTTTAGGGTATTTGGAGTAACGAAAAACAGTTACTTTTACAGTTTACTATATATTCAAGAAGCTGAACAAAGCAGCAGATACACAAGCGAAGAAGAGTAGCATGAACATTTCTGCAAGAATTGCAGAAAGATTGTCACTTGTTGCTGCCCGACCGTGCTTTCGAGGTGCTCTTTAAATACAATCGTCAGTCTCTCTCTCTCTCGATTTTCTTCTTCGGGGTCATCTCCTTTCGCTTTGCTTTCTTATTTTCTTTTTCAATTTCACTTTGTTTTTGGAGTTGGACACTTATTTTTTCCTGTTTACTTCAATAATTTTAGGTGTTCCTGAAATTGAGTTTGTGCCATCTTTGAAGCGGAAAAAGAAATTGGGATTTGGGTTTCCGAGGAAAATGGCTTGGAGTCTGGAAAAATGCGATATGGACGTTAAGAACAAATTGGGGGCAGTTCGGCCTGCCACTAAATTGTACGCTGAGGAGGCAGTTGAAGCTCTTAAAGCTGGAAATGTTATTGCAGTGCCTACAGATACTCTCTATGGATTTGCTTGCGATGCTTGGTATGACATTTTAATGCTATGTGTTTGATTTACCTGGTCTAATTCCTTTAATTTGTGTTTTGTTTTTTGTAAAATATGACTACTATTTGTTTTCTTTAATGTAATTGTGCATTTTGGAAAGAATTTGTTAGGAGTAATAAATTGGAATGAAGTGCTAATGAAAAATTTGTGGGCATTGTAAATGGCAATTATGGACAATGAACTTATTTGGGCTTGCTATACACTCCTCTTCTGTATTATGGTGTCCTCATTGTCATTTTGTGATGAACCTAACTCAGCAGTTCATGCTAAGATTTTAGCTAAGTTAGCCCTTCCTTAGAATGCAATTCGTGGGCTGCTTTCCTATCATATTCCAAAGATAGTTTTAGAGTCGGCCATGGATAACATATGTGGTTTAGACCTGCAGTGGCTGGATGTAATGGAATACCAGGATATCCATAGTTTACTTCTATTGGTGGCCTTTGATAAGAACATGGCGGTTGACATACATTTTCTTGATTATTAACATAACTTATTTAACTCAGGGAACTAGAAAGTGCATTGTCATATAAATCTTAATGATACATCTGGTTCATAATTTTATCTTCTCTAGTCTATTTACCTCTTTTTAAGAGCTGAATAAAGAATGATAATGACAATACACAAAGATATTTATCAAAATTTTAGGTCTTTTTACATCATAACATGGGCTATTTTGTTCAACACCATTCTGTAATATTTTGGGTGATCCTATTTTGTATCTGGAACTGAATCATCACTTTTAGATGTCGCTGATTTTTGGTTTCCTCTTATGGTAGCTCTCTGCATGCAGTTAATAGGATTTATAAGATCAAAGGACGGAAGCATACAAGCCCTCTTGCAATCTGTGTTGGGGATGTATCAGACATACAGCATTTTGCAGTCACTGACCACTTGCCTCATGGCTTACTTGATTCTCTTCTCCCAGGGCCTGTTACTGTTGTATTAAGTAGAGGTTTGTATTAAAATCTTTTCCTATGCAGAAAAAGAGAGAAATTGTTGCACTTAAATTATTAAGTTTAGATACTGAGTATATAATTCTACAGATTATGCCACTCTCTAAATTTTTACTTTATTGTATAATATGAGTTTGTTATTGAGTGTCTTGAATCTTTATTTAGTTCAATAGTAAAATTTGGGATTTCTTTTAGGGGAGGCAAGTGCACTGGAGAAGTCCTTGAATCCAGGATTAGACACTGTGGGAATCCGAGTGCCTGATTGTAATTTCATGAGGTTAATTGCTCGTGGTTTGGGACGAGCTGTGGCCCTCACGAGTGCAAACCTTAGTGGGCAGCCAAGTAGTGTTAGCATCAAGGATTTTGAGAACCTATGGGAACATTGTGCATATGTCTATGATGGGGGTCTGCTTCCATCTGGTCGTGCAGGATCAACAGTTGTGGACCTCAGCAGGCTAGGAAAGTATAAAATTCTTAGACCTGGAAGGTAAAATTCTGATTGGATAGACTAATAGTTTATTCCTGATATCGAAGTAGGAAGTTTACCAGTGAACACTAATTAGTCGATGCACGTCTTATTTTCATTCTAAGGCTAGTCATCATATGAATTCTGTAATCTACTTGTGATAATCTTGTTATATTTGCTAATGTCAAACTGTTGCTCGTTCACAGAGCAGGATGGAACAACTAAAATATTTGGTCCATTCTCAAGATATCTATCAATATCAGCATGTTTTTCTTGCCATATATTTTTCCCTCTTTGTGAAAAATAAGAGAAAACCCTTTTTCATTATTTTTACTTCTCTATTTCTGAAATGAACCTATGTAGAATCAACTTGATTAGAGACCATTTTACTGTTGCATTCAGCATCATGAAGAATAACATTACTAGATAACGCCTGAATGCTCATTGTGGAAAAGTTTGTTTCATACCGTCCTGGTTGTGCAAACTGATAGCAACTGTGAAATCTATCATAATATTATTATATTTGTTGGAATCTTTTCTATTGTTGTTTCTGTAGCCCTAATTGTCTTTTTTTTTCCTTTTATCTTTGAAATATGAATCTTGCATTGTCTTTTTTTGTATGCTTATGTATTTTATTTTCATTTTTTATTGTCAATCCTTTAGTATTCACAGTGCTGCTTTGCCTCGTATTTCCAGTGCAAGGGAAGAGACAGTAGCGGTCCTTGAAAAGCATTGCCTAGTTGAGGGAGGGACGACTACCTGAAGTTGGAAGAGGTGTTATAGTTTTGTACTGATTTATTGCATTTTCTAGTTAGGGAAATGATAACTATTTCCTTGTGCATGGGCGAACCATGTGCATCAATTGTATTTTTTTTTGAACTTGGTTTATTTGGATATTAGCTTAGGTTCTCAAGTTCTATTGAACTTGTTCTTTCTTTTTTTAGATAGAGTCTTACTTGATAATTCCTGAAGAAGTAATTCAATGGAATGAAATGTTGATTTCTGTATCATTTTTGCTGATGAATGACAGCTATAGGGTGGTATTGTTTATCTAAGTTATACATCAGGAGTAACATTTATCTTAGAAAAGTGAAGAATAAGTTTATGACGAAAAACATTTCAAAATTTCTTTCCATCTTCTGATCAAGCTGGAATTACCTGATCTTTCCAGCAAATATCTTTCAGATGAAACTTCTTACACCAAATTTTCAGGACTAATTCTCTCAAGGACACAACTCTCAGAGTTCTAATCCACTTGACCAGAATTGCAGGCAGAACCCTGCAAAAGATGAAGAGTTTCATGCAACAAAACCATTCGATCAAAACGATGGATACTCTAGCACTCTGGTTTTTTAAATGACAATTGGTTTTATGGTGGGTTGCAGGAAGGCGCAGGCGCAATGCTTAATTGCAGGTTCTTGATGACAAAGAACTGGCTACATTCCTCAACATATATAAGTAAAGTGGTGATGCAAAAAGTTAATATGCTTCTAAATTGGCAAGTAAAAGGTATTTTCTTCCAACATAAAAAATTAAAAGAAATGGTTATGTTGTTATCTATATTTTAATATGGCTTTTTGTGTGATGAATTGTATAAATCCCAAATAGACAAAATACTTAGCTCAGCACATTACATTTATTGTCTTAAGCTTCCTAGAATATATTATTAGCATATAATGAACTTGATCTGGCCATGTTGAAATTATTATTCAAATATTTTTTTGTGGTCAATGGTCAAGAATAGTATGTTCATTCATTGATTTATTTTTTTTCCTATAATGTAGTGATGCAGTATCCTTTTTTATTCCCAATTTCTTTGCTAACTATCTTGGACTAAAACTCCATATTATATATACATATATTATTAGCCATCCTGGACCAGACCACCAACCATATTTAGTCAATATGGAGCTGCTGTCGTTTTGAAGAGGCTGCTAAGCTTCAACATTTCCTGAGTGGAAGCCCTTTAATTAGACATGTATTATTAAATATTAACTCAACAGAAGCTGTGTTCTTGACTTTATTAAGTGCATAATCTCCAGCCAGCCATGGGAAATTTAAAGCAGAAAATTTGACCTTTATTTATCTGCAGCCATTATTTTTTTTTTTTTATTCAAATTTTCTTGATTGATGGCTTGAGGGTAACTTTGGTATAACATAAAGTTATTTCACTTATGACCTGTAAATTCTGAATTCTAAATTATGAATTTGAATTACGGAATAGCATTTTCGTAAAAACCTGTGTGTGTATTATGAGATGGATATTCAATCAATTATAATCTGGGTTACAATATAGTAATTATTATAACTTTCTTATGTCTTTGTTGGGATTAAGGCTTTTTAATCAGGTTCTATTTTTATTTTATTTTACTGAAGAGGGCATACTTGTGTTGTGTTAATAATGATGCAAATGTGTTTTGACTATTTTTAAGTCCATAAAGTACTATCAAACGATGCAAATATCTAACATCTAAGGCCGTTTGGTCAAGGTCAATATGTGTATGCTCCTTTGAATAAGAAATAAATATATTTACATGCACTCCATGACATACACTTGTTTGCTCTATCAAGCAGATAGCGACTTGTTTACTATTAATATTATTATTTTTTATAAGGAGTTTTTTTTATTAGTTTTTAATTAGAAATAGTGACTTATTTTCACTGAAACTTGTTAGCAAATGACTGAGTACTGAAAGTTACCAAAAGCCAAGGGAAATTGAATCAAATTACACAGTTAAAACTAATAAGGAATTATTTTATAAAATTTATTTTCTAATGCAAATTAAAATTACTATTTTAATTATACCATGTAAATAATTATAAAAAAAAGGAGGAATGTGGAAAATTCAGATTTATACAGATTAGATGTGCTGTGCAAATCTCAAGAAATTAATTAATTTATGTGGTATAGGGTAATCTAGTTAGCACACCTTCCAGCTTAATTTATTTTGAATTTTTAATTTAATTAAATAATTCACATGTATTGGAATGGCTGGGTCTTCCAAGATTCATGTGTTCTTGTTTTGGTAGGGAGTATGGCATCCCAACATGTTGAACGTGAATTTCATGGGGCAATTAATTGCAAGATAACGATATTTCTCAACTCAAATTAAAATTGTTATTACTTTCACATGGAGAATTTTTGTCACATTTTCATTTTAATAATAATGAATTAATTAATGAGTGGAGTGGTAAACAACTTCGATCGCCGTATCAAAAATTCAATATCTGAGAGAGCTAAAAATATATACAGCTAGAGAGAGATTGTACCTCTTTATTATAAAAAAAATAATAAATTCAAAAGACTATTAGTCATTATCATTTAATTTAAATGCATGAGATTCAAACACGAACTCCTAATTTGGAGGATCACAACCACGATTGGTCTTTTTTTTTCTAATTACCAAACTTTAATTGTCATTTTATTTATCTTTCAAAGTTTAATTGCCATTTTATTTACTAGTGTATTTTATTTTTATCCTTATTTAAATGACTCATTGTCAAATTTCAAATTTTAGCTCCTCTTTTTTTATCGTAGAAAATTGTTATTTTTTAATTTAACATTTTTTACTCATTTTTAATTAACATTTAAAATTCTTTTCTTTAATAAATCTTGATAATTATACAGTAACATATTAAATAAATAATTTAATCTCAGGTAATTAGTAATAATTATTTGAATTAATAATAATTAAGGTAATATCTATTTTACGATGGCGACTAATGACTACAATGTGGAGCAATATTAAAAAAGTACAAATGTCAAATTATTGATAATAATTGCACCATATAATATTACTAACAATAAAAAAATAATTAAATTAATACTAATGGTCTGATAGTTGAAGGCGACGGAGCCAGCCAAGTAAGACTCCAAAGTTAGACTAACACGTGGGGTACGTATGAGTTGGGGCGGGAAATGAGTTAGGTATCATTTTACAGTTTTGCTATGCACTGCTCCCTCCCATTGTGGAATATTTTAAAACGATCCTCAAAAGGTCCTCGGAGTTTGGGATCTCTCTATTCTATTTGTCATTTTTTGCACTTAGGCCCTTGTAATAAGGTGCATGTACTTTTTCCAATTTTTCTTTTTTAAATCCTTCATCCTTTTTTTATTTTTTTATGACTAACATTTTAACTGAGACAATTTAATTTGACTGTCAAGTTTTAAAATTTTAGTAATAATAAATCATTTTCCTTTCAATGTTGAAACACATTACAAAACTAATTCTGTTATTAATATTTAATTAAAAAATAATTAAATTTTTAGTATTTACAATTTGAGTGGCTTAATTTAGTAATATAAATAGAGTTTCATAATTTGTCAAGAGTTATAAGAAAATAATAAAAATATTTATATTGATCTATAATTTACTAATTTCAATTAATTTTTTTATCTTATAACAAAAATTATATTATTAATTTTTTCAACATATTATATTTTATTTATTTGTTAATATCTACTACTAAAATTAAGTATTTGAACTTATGAATTGTGGCTCAGTTGGCAGTGCAGATTGGACATATGAAAAGAACTATCGAATTTGATCTCTACTAAATACACCTATAAGAAGAAGCGAAGAGCCTTCATTATGATAGAGCCTTAACTGTAACTAAGCCTCAAATTGAATTAGGCGATATCTGGTGATACGGTTTGAATCAAGTATTTGAAATTAATTAGGTTGTCTAACTTTTTATTGTAGTTTCCTCTTTTAGAAAAGAAGAAAACCACTTGCCATAGCATGTATGACATCTATGCAATATATGTTAATATTTATTATTCATTAATGTTTTCTTTTTTTTTTTTTGGGTAAAATTTATATAAATGTTATTAAAATAGGCAAATTTGTGTAAAAGATTAGAATATTCATTAAAATCACTATTATTTTGTGAGGAAATTATAAATATAATGAGAATTTTCTTCTAATTGTGCAGCCTAAAAAATTTAAACTCACATGATCCATATATTTGTGGAAGATTTGACACTTTTTTGAAACAATTCAATACTAACTGGGGACACAAAAGAATAACCCAAAAAATAAAGCCAAATTATGAAATACTCACAAAAAAAAGTCCACCTCTGAATTTCCCAAGGCCGCTGGATAATAATAATAATAGTATATATATATATAATAATAATAAAACTCACACCAGTACTAAAATTTTTTTATTATTATTATTTTAAATCCAAAGATGCTCAGATTGCAGTTTTTGTCGTCTTCTCATTTCCCGTTTTGTCTTCGCTCGCTCACCCTTCAAATACAAATCCGCCTGTAAATTTTCGCAATTCCTCGGCCAACACACGCCTCTATCTCTCTCTTACCACCACTTGTTCTCTCCTTTCTCTAGATCCTTCGCTTCACTATCAACCATCGCTCTTGAAGCTTTAATTCTGTTTGTTTCAAGGTATCAAACAAGCTCTCATTCCACTCTTTTCGCTACTTTAACCATTTATATAGCTTTCATTTCAGTTCTCAACGTTTTCGAGTAAAAAGTTATTTATTATGTTAGCCTTGGAGCTGTTTTTTTATTGATAAAGGTTGCTGATAGTGTCTTTATTGAAATAACCTTTTAGACAATTGTTTAATTTTGAATTATTAGCTTATTATGTATGTTTATATGTATGCAGGTGTTTGATTGGTTGAGTTTTGTGTGTTGTGATTGAGAAAGTAGGTGAGAGAGTGTGATTCTTGTTGGAATGGCGACTGGAACTGTACCGGCTTCTTTTACTGGTCTCAAGGCCAGGGAATCCAGTTTGGGCTTCGGGAAAAGCATGGATTTTGTGCGAGTTTGTGATTTGAAGAGGATCAAGTCTGGTAGGAAGAAGATTTCAATGATTAGGAACTCGAATCCTGGTCCTGAAATGGTTGAACTGCAGCCTGCTTCAGAAGGGAGTCCTTTGTTAGGTATTATATCATTTCATTTCTATATTATAATTCTAAGTTTTGGTATAGTTAAGAACATAGTATGTCCTTCTTTGTGTGTGTTAAGGTCTTTGGACTTTGTACTTGGCGGCTGAGAAAATAAACTTAAAACAAGATCTTTTGAGTTGAAT